TCACTGTTATTGAGTGGATGCTGACTCATAGCAATCATAGAGAAGAGGGTTCAAGGTAGAACTGTGCCTCCAGATTTCTGAGATTGTAACTCTTTATGGGCAAGAAAGGCTTATCTTTATAAGAAGAAGCAGCTGGTGGTTTTGAACTGCCAACCTTGCAGATAGCAAGTACAACATGTAACCACTATACCACCGGGTGCCTTAAAAACACAACATCAAAACATAAATAGAAAATTTTCTGCACTTGTGTTTGTGTTTAATTAGTGGACAAACACTCAAAGACAGGTGCAAGAATAGATCCTCTTTTGCAATCCAAAACTCATTGTGCAGCATGAGTTTTGATACAGATCAGAAGGGACATGTCACTAAACCAGTCACTGGAGCACAGAAGCCTTGTGTCTGACAGATGTGGACACTGTTCCCAGGCCTTGCTTTTGAGGTGCTTCAGACGAAACACAAACCAGGGACTGCAAGGGGTTTCAACTCAATGTTCAGGCTATCTGAGATTGAGAGGAAGGCAGAATGAATGAGATCCAAAGATGCATGAAATGTCTGACATTTGTCCATAATGAAGGTTAAAGCGGTGTAACCAGAACTGACAGATCTGAGATTAATGCCTACTGGACAGAATCTTGACAACGGTGGGTTTTAGCATAGGTTCCTTAAAAAGGGCTATCTTGAAGATGAGCTTTTACAAGATTTAGAGGAACTAAATAGTAACCAATGGATGACAAAGACATGTAAAAAACTCCTTAAATAAAATTTATTAACATTAAATAAAATTTATAAAATAAAAACGTTTACAATCTAGAAAGTAAAAAAAAAAGGATAATTAGGGCTTATCAAAATTGGGACTTCATTAAAACTTTTATGTAATAAAATACTTTACCAACAAAATGAAAAAGAAATTTATCTATTAAGGATTTGCCATCCAGTATACATTAACAACAACAAAAAACAATCAAAGTATGGGCAAAGGACTTGGGTAGACTTGCCGCAAAGATAAATACAAATAGACTGACGGAAAGATTCTTAGCATTAGTAGTCATTAAGGAAATGCAAATCAAAACCAAAATCAGGTAACAATTGGAGGAGTGCATGACAAGTTGGCTGCAAGGTCAGCAGTTCATAGCCACCAGCAGCACCAGGGGAGAAAGCTGATGCTTTCTACTTCTGTAGAATCACAGCCGCAGAAACTCCCAAAGGCAGTTGTACCCAGTCCTACCCAAAGTCACCAGCATCAGAACGGACCCCATGGCAGCGAGTGTTGTTTGTTTGCTTTTTGAGAGAATGACTATTATAAGAAAACAAGTGATGGTAAGGACATTCTGACGAGATAGTGTAGTCACTTTGGAAAATTAATCATAAAGCACTATAACCATTCATTCATTTCTGTGCTTACCCAAAATAATCAAAAGGACTCAGTTACATGTGTGTCATTGCTAATTGCAGCAATATTCATTCACCGAAGTCAAAAGGTGAAAATAACTCACATCCATGAGCAAATTAATTTTAAAAAACAAAATGTAGTCTCTCTAAAGACTAGAAGATTACTAAACTATAAGGAGAAATGAAGTCCTGCTACATTTGTGACCTAGATGAATCTTGAAAGCATTTTGAGGAGTAAAGTAAGTCAGACGTAAGGGCAAAATACTGCATAGTCCTGCTTAACTGAATTTGCTAGAAGAGAACAGACCAAAGCTTCCTTGTGTTAACAGGGGCAGCTGGCAGGGGAACTGAGGAGTTATTTGGGCATTGGCTGATGAGTTTCTGTTAAGGGAGCTGGAAAAAAATTAGAAACAGACAGTAGTACTGGTTGAACATCATGGTAAATGTAATTTAAACTTAACTCAGCCAGCAAGTCTATTCTGATTCATAGCAAACCTGTCGGACAGTGTAGACCTGTTCCTGTGGGTTTCCGAGACTCTTGAACTCTATGAAGTAGAAAGCCTTGTGCTGAGCAGCCCAATGTGTAACCACTATGCCACCAGGGTTCCTGAAATTAATTAATGTCACCTTTACATGTAATTATACATATAAAAATATACGTGCAAAAATAGTTGAAATGACAGGTATTTTGTGTATATATTTTGCTACAATAAGAAAATTCAAGTGTGGATGGACAAAAGTAGTTTGATAAGCTTGTTTAAAATGAATCCCCCTTTTCCATACACTGGGGTCTAGTACATAATGTGTTATTAAATATACTCAAATGAATTTGCTAGTTACCAGAGAGTCATGACAAACCAATATGTATGATATAAAACTGCTCTAGGGGATCTTCCTAAAGCAGATTGCTAAATCCGTCTAACCCAGAGGGTTTAAACTGCCAACCTTTCAGCTAGTAGTTGAGCACTTAGCCATTTGCACAGCCTAGAGCAGAGGTTCTCAACCTGTGGGTCTCGACCCCTTATGGGGTCAAACGACCCTTTCGTGGGGGTTGCCCGAGTCAGTAGTAATATTACAGTTACGAAGTAGCAACGAAAATAATTTTATGGCTGGGGAGGTCACCACAACATGAGAAACTGTATTAAAGGGTCGAGGTATTAGGAAGGTTGAGAACCACTGGCCTAGAGATTCCCCGTGCAAATTTATTCTGGAAGAAAACAAATTAAAAAGGTGAAAAAATATGATTATAGGGGAAAAGGAATGAGGGGGGGGGCTTTTTTGATATTTGACTAAAAACTGCTAAAACCTAGGGCTAAGTAGGGGGTTCTTAGAAAGCCAAAACCACAAGCACGAACGAAAAAAGTTGATAATTGCACTACATTACCATTTAAAACATTTGTGCTGCATGCAACACCAACAAGAGTGTGAAAAGATAACACAGAAAGGGGGAATATGTAAACTATGTATCTGGTACAGTATTGGTATCCAAAATATATAAAGCACTGTCATAACTCAGTAACAATAAAACCAATAATCCAATTTAAATAAACAAAAGATTTAAACTGACAATTCTAGGCAGATGATATATAAATGACAAATGAAAACATGCTCCACATTTTATTAGTCACCAGGAAAATACAAGTCAAAACTACAATGTAACCCCACTTCACACAGACTAGGGCAGCAGCTATAATTAAAAAAGACAAGACATCACCAATGTAAAGAAATTGGAACCATTATACACTGCTTATGGATGTGTACTGGTATCTTCCCACCCACTCCCGGACACACTGTACTTTGAAAAACAGTTTGATAGTTGTCTGAAATGTTAACTATATGACCGTAGCAATTTCACTACTAGGTTTGTACCCAAGAGAAATGAAAACACACATCCAAGCAAAAATTTGTACACAATTGTTACGAGGAGCATTACTTGTAACACTCCAAATCCATAAAGTCCACATATTGATTAATAAACAAAATAAAAATGCCATTTTGCCTGAGGGTTATCCATCAGGTTTCCTTAGCGTAATTTTTCTCCCATGAAACTGATAGGTGGATTCAAACCACGAACCTTTCCATTAGCAGTCAAGTACTTACTTAGCCACTGGGCCACCGGCACTCCTCATCCAATGGGGTAGACCAAAAACCAAACTCACTGCCATCGACTCGTTGCCAACCCATAGTGACCTTATTGGACAGGGTAGAACTGTGTCTGCTGAGTGTCCAAGACTTACAGGAATAGAAAACTGTCTTTCTCCCATGGGGCAGATGGTGGTTTTGAACTGCTGACCTTGCAGTGAGCAGCCCAAAATGTAACCACTATGTCACCAGGGCTCCAACCAATGCACCGGGGGAAAAGTAAATTTAAAGAAAGGAGGTTAGAGTTCTGCATGTAACTGGGTGGGGAGAGGGGTACTGGCGCTAATCTAATGGGTAAAAAGGTTTCTTTTAGGGGAGAACAAAAATGTTATAAAATTGTTGCACAATCCTATAAATACACTTTAAAAATAGTGAACTGTGCACTTTAAATAGACGAACTGGATAGTATATTACATACTTCAATAAAACTTTTGCAGTTGTTTTTTAGCTACTTGGAAGCATAACTTTGCAATCGCAATTTAAAGCTTAATCGAAGACATTCACAGCCAATTTCTGCTCCCCCACTACTTCCGTTAAAATCAGAACTATTATAAGAACCCATTTAAATCTTCTGGCTAACCTGGAAGCTATTTGTGCTGAGATACTAAGCCTTGATATATCCTATTGTCATTCCGGTATTTACTACTGTAGTCACAATTGTATTCTTTTCTTCACTTCCCAAGCCAGAGACCCATACCTTCCATTCCTTGGAAATCCCCCTGGGGGGTTGTATAAAGTCTATAAAGCAAGTTCGGCTTGGCAAAGCCTATTCAAGCAACATTCCAGAACAAAAACTATCGTTCCCGCGTTAAAAGACAAGAAGAAACAGACGCAAAGTCGAAAGATCAGATCTCAAAGGAGTTAACGACAGGCAAAATTCAGAGGCTACGCAAAACTGAAGGGCAGTACTTCCAGCTCAAACTTGATACTGAGTGGTACCGACTGTGGACGATTTTAAAAATAAAAGCTAAAAAAACACCAAACCAACTGGAGGTGGAAGATACCAATAACTTAGGCTGACCATACCTTTTCCTAAAGCTGTCCTTTCCAAAAATAATAGCAAGGTGATCAAGCTTTCGGCGCCAACACTAACACAAAACCCAGCTGTGATGAAGTTTACTTTGAAAAAGTTCCCTTTTCACAAAAGAAAAAGCCGAACCCTAGTCAAGATATACGAACCAGCAGCGTATACGAAATAAGCTCTCCGTTTCTGACTTCCACCATCTCCACCGCCATCTTCAAGATGAGAACCCAGCACCCTTCCTTCCTAAAAGGCTTTCGACATCACCACAACGCAGAGCCCGGGAACCCTGCGTTTCCCAGAACGCCCAGGCAACGGAAAGGAGGAACCCTCCACCTCGCCCCTTCTCCAGGCCGCCCAATGCACGCAGCGACGGTCGTCTTCCGTGCCCTCGGGCTTTCCAAAGCCGGGCTTGAAGGAGCCTCGAGGACCGGTGCCCGAGCCTCACCTGCACACGCCGCGAATGCACGGCTCCAGCCAGATGCGGTAGGCGGTCTCGATGTGTTCCTGCGACACCTCCTCGGGCCGCACCGTCTCCGCCCAGCGCCAGGCCGCCTTCTCCAACTGCAGCCGCGGAGCCATGGCCTCAGCCCGCGGAATGCTCCCAGAGCCGGGCCTCCGCCGCCGCCTTCGCCTCCAACGCCGCCCAAATGGTTCCCGCCACCTGCCACCGACGGGAACCAGGCGCTCCCACAGCCAGCGGGCCGGCCAGTCAATCACCTGTGCGCGCCACTGCCGCTGCGCCCGCCCGCGCCCCACCCTTACGACCAGCCGCAAAGCGCCGCCGCCGACACCCGACAACCCCCGCGCCTGCGGACGTTGGAAATGTACTTCCCTGCTGTGGTGGACGCATGCGCGTTCCCGGCAGTCTCTGCGCCTGACACACCTCTGCCCGACTGGCAGGGCTAGGGGAAGCGGTGGTGCAAATCTGAGGAAGCAGCGTTTCCACTACTGTCCCGGGTAGCGTCCTGCGTACCTACTCTCTAATCATCCCGCGTCTCGAGAGCAGAAGGCTACTTATTCTGGCCCTCCGTCCATGGCCTTCCCCTTTAACCACGCGAGAGACTACTCAACGCTTGGAATACTGGCGGGGGCCTGATAAGAGTAGAAACCAGGTCACCAAAATAAAAAACAGGTCAGCTCGCTGAAGGGACGTACCAGGCTTTTCTTGAGCTGGAACGGGACTACGAATCCCGGCATGCCTTGCGTTCGGGGTCTCGTTGAATGTTAGGCATGCCGGGATTTGTAGTCTTTGAGATGGAGAGCTCGTTGATTCCCGATTAAGCGAGGGTCCAAGCCTAGTTTCTCCAAATGCAGTGACAACGTTGCAGCTCAATGATTCTCCCCGAGACTCAAAATGCCATATAATTATTTACAATTAATTTCGTGAGTGCTCCAGGTTTAACAGTACTTCCGTTTTGCAATTCCTGCCCCCAGACATAAAAGAGTAGCTTTATCAGAACAAACTGTAAAGGGCATAGAGTGCACATAGTGAAGTCCTTACCTTTGAATGACAGCCCTGAGAGGTATACTACGCATGAACTTATGCTACAGCTGCTTTCCAGCCGGGTTACCTTGGATGCCTGATGATGTGCTATCAATTAGACATTCACTGAAGGCATATTGTAAACAACCTGGGGGCCCTGGCGTTATAAGGGAGAAGAGGTGTAACACAAAGGTTCCTTCTCAGTCTTAGGGACGATACATGGAGTACTTGGAAAAAAGCCTATTAGGAGCAATAACCCTAAGCCCACCCTCGAAAATGAGTAGATCTTTACCAGGATAAAAATAAGTCACCATTCTAAATAAAGCCACAATAAGCACACAAGGGAGAGAAACCCCTTGATGTGTGAGGACCACTGTTGTAAGCGGGAACACCCCAAATGCAAGTGTATTCTACAGAGAACTTTTATTAAGCCTTAGGAGCCCTGGTACTATAATGGTTATGCTTTGGGCTGCAATCCACATGATAGGCAGTTTGAAACCACCAGCAATTCTGCAAGAGAAAGACTTGGCTTTCTACTCCAGTAAACAGTTGCAGTCTCGGAAAACCCACAGGGCTTGCTATGAGTTAGCGTTGGTGAGTTTGGTTTGGGGTTATTAAGTCTTAAACAGAACAAGGGCAAACCATCTGGATGAGGGAGGCCATCAGCATGATGGTGTCTGTATTACAGCCCTGGTTTGCAAAAGGGTATGAATGGCAGTGACACCTCCAATCCATTTGCAGAGCTCCTACTTAAATTAAGCCTCCCTTGAATGATTTCATATCATTAACCAAGGGTGTAGATAATCTTTCCCTTAAAAAGAATGCCGAGGAGAGCTTCACCTCACTCTGGCCAGCCCAGGGAGGGGCAGTCTCTTTCTCAGGGGCTAGCTAGGTGTATCCTTAATGGAAGTCACCCTACTGGAGAAGGCACTGGGGGTCCCATAGTTTTGAGTCATAACCTGTCGGTTTGGCCCTGACTGCTTTGGTTCGATGGCCCTGGACCAATCTTGTAAGCTCTTCTATCTAACAGTGCATGGTGTCCCAATTATGGTCCCACCCCTGTTTCTGGAATATTGATCTGCCACCAATGGTGCTTTTGTGGCAGGTTCTGTTGCCCATCCCTATACCTTACTTATCTCAAGTCTCAATTGTGACCCACCGCCATTTCACCCTCTTGGTGGTGGTCTCCCTCATCCAGATAATGTGGCTGTTTCTTTGTCTCTTTTAAAACAATAAATGTTCTCTTTACACTGTATTCGAGATGGGGTCTCTTTTGTGCCCTAAAACATGTCCATAGGGCTCATGACAATGTAGCTAATTTTAGAAGGTTAAAACATTGTTACAGTCAAGATGGACACCAGATCCATGTACAGGCAGGACTACCAAAGGGGAGGGGACCATGATTGGGATCCAGGCACTACTGCAGATGAGGAAACCACCCTGCCCTGGGTGGGGCTCCACCTTTCAACCCTGGTAACTTTATTTCCATCTAGAACACACCCAGGCAACTCCCTGAGGGTATGACCTCCCTTCCCTTGGCTGCCTAGAGAAGCAACACTGTTTGAAACACACTCTGCCTTAGAAAGAGCTCATTGGAGGCTGAATTTATATGGAGATTTAACATGTATTCAGGGCTCCCACTGACATTTGCTCTCAAACAGTGTTGTTGTTAGGTGCCATTGAGCGGGCTCTGAACTATAGCGACCCCAGTACAACAGAATGAGACACTGCCCAGGGTCCTGTACCATCCTCACAATTGTTCCTAT